TGCAAACTTTGGCCCTAAGCTGGGCAACCCAGGACTTTTCTGGGTGCACCAAATTGCCAGGAGTCAAGAAAAATTCAGCTGGTCAGCACGGGTATGAACTAGCCAAAACATCGCTAACAAAACATCACTAGCTGTGATCACTAGCAGCATCTGTAAGGGTTATTCAAGCCTTTGGACTTGTATTAAGTGTCAGCATTGGAAACTCCTCTGCACCTCTGTACCTTTATATGACAAGAGCTGTAAACTTGCTTCTTCTCAAGGGATGCTTTTCCCATTTCACGTACTCTGGAGCGCCTCTCCTATGACGACAGACTGAGAGAATTGGGGTTGTTCAGTCTGCAGAAAATAACCTTCCGAGGAGACCTTGTGGCCTTCCAGTATCTCAAGGGGGCTACAAGAAAGCTGCTGAAGGGCTTTTTAGGATGTCAGGCAGTGACAGGACTAGAGGGAATGGACTGAAGCTAGAGATGGATCGGTTCAGACTGGACGTTAGGAAGAAGTTCTTCCCCATGAGGGTGGTGAGACACTGGCACAGGTTGCCCAGAGAGGGGGTGGAAGCCCCATCCCTGGCAGTTTTTAAGGCCAGGCTGGATGGGGCTCTGGGCAACCTGGTCTAGTGGGAGGTGGGACTGGAACTAGATGGTCTTTGGGCTCCCTTCCAACCCTGACAATTCTGTGATTCTGTCATTCTACTCCCCACATCCTGCGCGTTCCCTTCAACTACTGAGCGTTTCCTGAGCCCCTTTTCGATCTCAGCTGACTTCAGCTGGAAAGCAGGCCAACAAGACACCTGCCCAGGACCCGTCTGCAGCACCCCCCCCCCCCCACGCGCCCGCAGGCCCCCTCCCTCTACTCTCACGGGGCCCTCCCCGCCCGCGCTGACGCCGCCACGGGAGAGGCGCGAGACCTCTTCCCTTCCGGGTAAAGAGCGCGCGCGCATGCGCAGGACGGCCGGCGTCGCACTTGGCGGGAGCTGGTTCCGGGCGGGAACTAATTCCGGGCGGGCGGAGG